CCATGTGTCCAATTCAATTATTGAAGGATCGTCTTAAATTTATCTCCACCACTACTGTAGTGGGAAAAGCAGTTAAGAAAGCATTGAGGCAACAGGAGGCAGTTGAGGGAGGGGGAGATGTTGGTGGGTGGGAGCAAGCAGCTTGCTCCCTGCTGCCTGTTCCCCATGCCCCCACTTACCCCCTCCTGCAGCCTTTGCCCCCTGTCTATCCCCCTCAGGCTCTGCTTCCCCATATCCCTCCCCCCTGTTCTGTGTCTTCTGTTACTTAATTCACATGCAGTGACCTGTTCTCTGTGGCCTGCTATTAGAAACTGCTTCAGGTTCAATGGGACTTAAGTTTTTAAGCTGACTAGATGCTTTTTAATGTTTTGCAATCTTTCTGTTTTATAACTTGTATTTTTAACTTATTTCAGGTTTCAGCTGTATTGTAATAAATTAAGGGCTGTCTTTTTCACAGTGATGACTTAATGAGTGTAACTTCCTTTTCTAAGTAGTGGGAAGGATGTGTTATAGTTCATAAAACATGAATAATATAAAGTTTGCTTCATCTCTGTAAAACTGGTTTAAAACGAAGCTTTAGTGTTTGTTTCTATACATTTTCGTTAAAAAAATGCTTGCACTATAGTGAGAGAATTCCTTGGAATATTGGAGCAAAATATGCAGAAGGCTAATATACATTTTACCTTACAACTAATCTGGCAGTAGTGATCTTTCTGAATGGGAACGTATTTCTGTTAGCAGGGATAGAACATTTGTACTTGAGTGTAATGCTAATACACAAAGGCGTAATGAAATGTGTCACAGGGTGCCCTCTAAGGGGCGCTTGCTTGGGACTGCTTTGGCCTTGTCTGGTCTCTGAGAGGGTCACCTGAAGCCAACCCAAGCTTAGCTTCTAGAGCAAGGCAGGAGCCCAGGCCTCTTCACGCTCTGAGACCCCAGCCTTTCAGTCTCTTGCCTTACCTGGTTCTCCATGGCCCTGACTCAAGGAGCAAACATCCAGGTCTGCTCCTGAGAGAGGGATTTTGTCTCTTGTTGGGGTCAACCAGTGCAATTCCCAGTTCTAGGTACCACAGCAGTCTCTTCAGTAAAGGTATTTATTTGGGCAAAGCCAACCAGCCAAAGGTTCTCTGTCTCCTCTGGTCGGATTAAGCAGTCCCTCTGTCCCTACTCCAGCCTACATGGCCTTAAGCACTCACAGAGATGTTCTCTTTCCAGTCTTTCAGGCTCCCTAAAACTTCTCCACGTTCTCTGTCTCCCGACTTTAATGCCATGGAATTGCAAGGCTACTTCCCCCAGCCTGTTCCATGTTCATCTCATTAGACACCTCCAGGGTGTCAGACATTTCACCTTTCAAATGTCAACAAAGCCATTTAAAACTCTATTGGTGCTAAAGGTACATCTTATCTTGTCCTGCAGGTAGCCAACCCTGACATTTTATTCTCTGTGTATAAAGAGGTAAACCAGTTCGAACAGTATTATAATGTTAACACAGAAATATCACAATAGAACCTGCAGTCTGTCACAAAATGATATTCTGACACTTAGATGTGTGACATGGCGTGAAAAAAACAATTTTTCACTTTAGGATAGACAACAGATCTCTAAATAACCACCTTTTGGGTAGCAATACAGGTTTTGTCAACACAACAAAAAAGCTTTATTATATTTTGCAGTTTGGGAGAGAACAAGCAAACTGTAACTAGGTGTAGTTTTCAAGATTGAATTATGTGCCTTGTTCTGTAGCCCAAATAGAAGATCTTGCTATTGGATTTTGTAGGGCTCACATTGTAATAATTCATTAGCTAACAAAGAGAGATGAATTTAATGCATCACTAGGGGTAAATCTGCTTAACTTATTATATATATTTGAATGAGTCTGTTTCTTGTACACTTGTCTTAATTAGTAATAGGATGCCTGCTGTCAAATTCAGATTTATATGTTTGTATTAGTTTTTAAATTACTTCAGATTTCTCTGTCATAAGAAAAGAAAGAAATAATAAAAGGGGGAGTGGAAACTTAAGGTATAGAACACCTCTGTACCCCTTTTGGCTGAATTTTTTTTGACAAAGCTTATAGTGTATCAGGATTTCTCCAGTAGATGGAGTATACTCACACTTAGTCTTCTGCTGCTTTTGGGTTTTTTTCTCTTGATGACTACCAAGATAAGAGGGAAGCACCAGTGTTGGAGTTCTGCCTTCTTGTTTGTGTATCTATTATCATAAAGTTAAAAACATTTTTCCTGTAGTTTTGTAAGATGGGAGCATTTCCTTCTTGAAAGCAAGGCATTCATGACTTAAATTAGACTTCAACGATTCCATCCTCTGTGTGTGTGTGGTTTTTTTTTTTTTCTCTCTTCTTTTCTTTTTCCTTTTTTCCCTCATTTATATTTCTACTTTCAGTTCACCTTAGGGGTCCTTAAAAGGGCATGTCTTATCACTGTGAATTATTCTTTGCAGCTCTTCAGCTTAAGCTTGTATAGCAAGAAGATTCAGGCCTGGTTCTGATCTGTGCTAAGCAGTAACTTGGCATGTAGTGAGTGAGTCTAGGTTCTTTGCTGATGTTCTACAAGACCAGCACCTTTTTGGAGGGCTGGATTTAATAAGCATTATTAAATTAAAAATAGGTTATGAAAGAATTTTCTCTATCTTCAAGTTAAATAATGGATGGGCCCAAACTAATGGACAATATCCCTTTTCCCTGCATCATTACATTTTTAACTTAAGAAGAAAAATGCCCACTAATTGGATTCTTAAACCCTGAACTCAAACTGCCATGTCCTATATGCAACCAGGTGCTAAACTGTTTTCTGTACAAATTAATCAAATTGAATTATGGAATTATGGGTTAGATGCTTTTGTGCAGCATATTTTGTCTAATGTATAGATAATACTTTGATCAATGTTACATGGAACTTTGAGGTTAAGCAAATTTCATGCTTTGGATTTAAACTTTCAGAGGTTGAGGAATAGGTAGGATATTTCTTCTAATATTCAGTCCAAAAACAGGCTGATTGATTTACTGTTCTTTGAAGCATGGGCATTTGCAGCTTCTGGAGAGAGGCTGATGAGATAATAATGGTTTGGTCTTGGGTTTCTGTAAATTTTTAAACCTTGTTTCCACAAATTACTCAAATCATTATATATTTTTTTAGCTATTGATGATTGCTGTTAGTTTAAAACCTACTTGTAACTTATTTGAACTGTTTTGATGTACTCTACAGTGAAGATGATGACGATGACCTTCAGTATGCAGATCATGACTATGAAGTACCACAGCAAAAAGGGCTGAAAAAGATATGCAACAGAGTAAAATGGACACGTGATGAGGTAACACTTGGCCAATCAGCTTTGCTTCTGTTAGTTATAATATATTTACGCTGTATATGATCTTTTATAATTACAAATGCTGTAGTTCTTAGCTGATATTATGTCTTTAACAGGATGAAAAGTTAAAGAAACTAGTAGAACAAAATGGAACAGATGATTGGGCTTTCATTGCTAGTCACCTACAAGTAAGTGTGGATATTTTTTTTGAATAAGCCTTTTCTAATGAAGGTGTTCACCACACTGAGCAGTCAGAACTATTGTGGTAGAGGTGATATATTTCATTAGAACAAGTAGATAGTTGCAAAAACATTTCTTTATTTGCAGGCTTTCGGGCTCATGTGCCCTTCCTCAGGCAAAGGAGAATGCAAAGATTGTAAAACTATCCAGTAATTCAGGGCTGATCAGGTGGTGGCTCACAGGCTGCATATGTGCTGTGAGGGATTAAGTTGCAGCCCCTTCTCCCTTGCTGCCCCTCATGATCGATTGATCTGGCTGCAATAACAGCCAAAGCCTCCAGGTGACCACTCCCTCCTCTGGCTTACATTTTCTGCCTCTGTCCCAGGGATGCAGGGCAGACTAGCACAGCATGCGGATCTGGGGGTGAGCATAGGTGCATGGTTCAGCAGTGGGGTAGGGGGTGTCTCCATGGCCCCGGCTGGTGCCCCTGGGCACTTAGAAGTTGGACAGCTCTGAAATAATTTACCGAGTGCCTGTTTGTGCTATTAAACGATTTTCTGCTGGGCTAAGGTAGATAGGGCCGAGGTCTGTGAGAGTCTTGTCAAGTCAGACTAAGATTGATTTGAAGCAGACTTGAAAGGTGCAGGGAAGTAGCTGCATTTGTGAAGGACCAGTGCTACATTCAGGTCTGCCATTACTTCTGAAATGAATTGCTGCTTTCTGTCAGTTGCAGCCTGTGGGGCTGTTGCATTCAATCACAAAACAGGCTACTTCAATACAGTAACAAGTAAGTGGTAAGTGTAGATTGCACATGAAAGAATTTTGCTTGAAAGTAGAGGGATCAGGTTACTGAATAAAATGAAGATAAGGTATTCTGTATGAACATGGTGGAAATCTGTGTATAGGAGCTGTGGGGAAACTAGCTTTGCACCAAGTTGGATACCCGTGGTCTGTCTTCAGCTGATCAGGTGTCAGTCAGTTTTTCAAATGCACCTCCTCATACTAAAAACCCTCTCTCGTGTAGGTCATAGAATCAATGAGTTGGAAGGGACCTAGACAGATCATCTAGTCTGACCCCCTGCCATGGGCAGGAAGGAGCACTGGGGGTGGGAGGGGTCATAAGACCCCAGCCAAGTGCCTATCCAGTCTCCTCTTGAAGATTTCCAGGGAAGGTGAGAGCACCACCTCTCTGGGAAGCCTATTCCAGGCTCTGGCCACCCTTACAGTGAAGTAGTTCTTCCTAATATGTAACCTAAACCTATCCTCCCTCAGCTTGTGGCCATTGTTCCTGGTGACTCCAAGGGGG